CGTACCATGCTCGTCCATGCCTTACTCTTCCGCTTAGATACAAGAGCCTTATGCCCATGCTTATATTATTTTTATTTTATTTTATTTTTTATATGTACTTAACTGTTTTGGCCTTCATGTCTTAGCCCGACATCCCGCATATCCAGGGAGCCTGATTGTAACAGAAAACATGGCGTTGATAGTTGCGCCGCACGGTAGTTGATATTAGGCGGCGCAACTATCAACGCCATGTATATATGATATAATCAGGCTCGCATTATAATATCGTTATCGCTTAGTGCGTTTGCGTGTGTAGGGCCATATCCTCTGTATCGCTCTTAGTTAGTTTGCGTGTGTTTGCGTGCTTTATCATTTCGGCGGGGCTTTTCCTCAAATGTTCAATAGCTCTCTGTTTTTGTGTTTATTTTGAATTTGACAGCAGAATTGTGTCGTGTCTAAAATAACAGCCAAAAATAACCAGTATTATTGTTTTATATTGTGAAGCAACAAATTCTTTTTTTACTATAACGTCGACCCTATGCATTGTGGTTATTTATTGGTCGGAGGTTAATAGTAAAGTAAACATCATAATGAAGGTTCACGAAAGCCAATGCTGTATTTTTATTTACACTGTGTTTCGACGTTCTGCTGAATAGCTCTTGCTACATCTTTCTCAATTTTTGACTGAATCAACTGTGTAACAAAGTAAGTTTATAAGTAAATCTTTAATACTAATTATGGGTGTTTGGATTACCGCTTTGAAAAAAAAAATATAAAGTATTATACTAGAGAACATTTTATAGTTTAAATTCACTTATTTTATTGCTAATTTTGTATTATTACTACTCTTGTTACTGAAATAGATAAATATTTGATAATAAACTTTGTTACTTTGAACAAAGTTTTAAACGTTTGGTTTACATTTTTAAAACTTTAATTCCATGGATTTTTAGGCATTTTCCACGTCGAAAATGATAATATTACCTATGCCATTCGAAAGAACGGGAAAAAACCATAAAAACATTATTTTAAAGTTGGCCAAAAATTTCCGACATAACCTGAAATATTACTGAAAATTTCAAATATTTTTCCTTGGCTCAATTTTCAAGCTAAAAATCTGAGAAAAATCAGGTAGTATTGTATTATTAAACTACGCTTTCATGAATTTTTTCAGATTTTTTGCAGCAATACAGTGTCTAAAAAATTTTTTTTTTCTTTAAATACGTTTTTTGCCATAGCGAACCCCCAGACGCACCTAGGGACTTGAAAATTTAACTGAGTGAGTTTTTAATTATGTCCTTTCGAATTTTCAGGCCCAAAACTAAATCGAGCATGGTGCAATTTTGACCATCTTATCCCGCTATAGCCTTTATACTGCATTTCTATTGGTCGGTCAGGGGTTGTCAAATCTGTAATATTTTAACCTCACTTTATGCCATTTAATGAACTGTAGTTTTGTTTGTTTTTATATATAAAATAAAATTTTTTATATTGCACAAACATTTTAGATTGTAAATCCAAAGGAAATTTTATTAGGCAATCCAAAAGAAAAAGAAAGCATTTATTATTTCAATTCTAAAATTTTAGGATATGTATGTAATGTAATAATGTCTACACATATGACTAATATAGTATAGGTATAATCTTACCAAGGCAATATATTTTTTAATGTTTTGATAACAGAGACTGTAATTCTAGAATCTGTATTATATAAACATTTTGTAAATGTTAACTAAAATTATATACTTTGTAATCCAATATTTATACTTGTTTAAAATGTGGAGTACCTATATAGATATATTTTTATAATTTTGGTTATTATATTACAACACTAATCTCAGTTGATGATAATAAAAAATTTAAAAAGGAAATCTTACTAAGAGAAATGATTTTATATACAATATTCCAAAAATTTTACTACTTTGGCTTATAAATAAGTAGTACAATATACAATGATGTACATGGTTGTCAAAATAGTATTACAAAAAGCCTGCCAAAATCAGGGTGTTGAAAGTAAGAGTGTAAATAAAGTCATATAAAGAGGGTAAAACCAAGGAGTCCATAAAAGGTTTTTGATTTTCACTACAGCACTGAAATAAAAATTGAGAAACCATGGGTTAGGAAATAGCTTAAGTACAGAAACAGTTGCAATATATTTGAGATAGAATAAAATGTTACAATATAATATCACTATTTTATTGATTCAATGTTAGAACCGCTTCCAGGCAACTTATCTACTATTTTCTTTAGTACAGCGGTTTGTGTGTTTATTGCAGTAATCTTGTCTTGTCTGAAAATGTTTGCTGGAACAAACCTAATATAATGTGAGTAATGAGGAAACATACATACTCCTACCTCGTACGGAAACCCCTATGGGAAATAACAAGTAACCAGTAAAAAGTGCAAGGGGCGTTGTTATTTTATAAAAACTTGATATTCCAGTTTGTCTAATTTGTAACATTTTTGGTAAAGTTTTTAAAAACCATAGGTTGAGATTCTTTCATGAACAGAACAAACTATTTTTTTTTTAACCGGACCTGACTTTATTTCTAGTTTAAATGTGGTGTTTAGTGACATGTTTGACCAAAATATGAGACACATCAAATTTACAATTCAAAAGCTATGATGAATAGAAGTAAGTCAAAATTGACAACTCGAGGTGTATGTTTTAAACAATGAGAGCGAAACTTTTTAATGGTCATTTATTCCCCATAGGGTCCTCCATACAAGGTTGGAGTATGACCCGTATTAACTAAGTACTAAGTAAATATTTTACACTTTATTTCTCAACTCTTGTTTTAAAATTTGAACTTCAAACTGGCATATTGTCTCTTTGTGGTTTTCTTCAAAGACTCCCACTTGCTTCGAAGCATTTTAGCTGTCCTTCATGTACCACAATTGGAATTAAATTTTATGGATAATTTTAACCACTCCTCATCTTTCATGGTACTTGTTGTTGTGTCAGTTTTCTTACATTCTAAAAACACAATTAAAATAAATACTTAACCCGTAGATACATATTTTTTTACATACCTATTATTTCTTTATGTTCTCGAACTAAACTCACAAGCATTTAAATTTCTGTATATGTAAAATTTTTACATCTTTTTTTATCCATTTTATATTAATTTTATAAAGTATAATAATATAAATGTAGATAAAATACCAGATAAAGCGAATCAATTATTCAATTCCTTTCAATTTTAAACAAATTTTACAGTTATGACAAATGCCAAATGTCGCTGTCAATAACAATTTGAACTAATTTTGAAGATATCAGATCTACTATTTCGTTTTACCTTAGTGTTCTGTGTACTTAGTACCTATAGTGTTCTATACCCAGAATAACTATTCCACTGTCGATTTCACAATGTAGAACGCTCGAAAGGTTATACTTGGAATAAACTCAAGTATAAGTTATATTCAGAATAACTATTCTCCAATTTATATCTGGATTGTAGAACCGGCCCTAAGTGTCAAAGACTCAAGTGTAGAGGCACCGAACAACAGGCGCGGTCGTCGAGAACTGCGCGCTCACAAGAGATATGGGCAGTGGTAGGCATAGTAAAATTGTACTAGGCAACTAAGTTCGACTGCGCCACGTGAATCGTGCTACGCCGCATCAGAAGAGTCGACCAGAGAGACGTGTTTTGAATTTTTTTTTCTAAATTCTCGCGGAACCCCTACAGGGGTATCGTATATTTGGTCTTCTAAATTTGGTGAAAATACATTAATTTTTATTTCATTAGACAGTTTATTTGATTTTTAATTACTCTGCCTTACGTCTACAACTTCAAATTTTTACCCCTTATTCTACTCATTAGGAACTAACATTCAGCCAAATTTCAAATTTTTACTTGCTTGCCCATCAGAGATATAAGGGCTCAAACTTTGAAATTTTTCAAAAAATTCCATTTTTGAGATTTTTTTTGAAAAAATTGACTTAGTCTCATAGCTCAAACTTTTTTTATTTAAAGTATGTATGTCTTTTCCAGAAAAAAATTACAAACCATTATCAACTTCCCTGATTTTGTTAAAAAAGCTGAAAACGGAATTTTATCAGTTTACCTTTTTAAACTTTGAGGTTAATTTAAGGCATTAAGGGTAGTTTGTAATTAAATAATGCTATGGACCATTTTTTAAACCATACTTTTCCAAACAGTTTGGTTTTTGACTTACCTATTGTTTTAGGACAAACCTAAGTGAAAATATTGGCTAAAGAGTGAAGCCATGTTTTCCGTGAAAATGACCGACACGGTAAAACAAAAATGGCCGCCATCGGCAAAATAAATTTTTTTAAAATATAATGAATGCAATTTTGTACTGTCTATAGACTGAAGTATAAAAAGTAGAAAAATAAAAAATATTAAAAATAGTCAATCATCCACCTTTGGACCACTTGGCATGGGTTGACCCGTTTATATGGAAATAATTACATTTTATATTTGTTTTTGTCATTTCGGCTTTTAATCCGGAAATCGTTTAAAAAAAATTGAAAAAAAAATTAAAATAATTAGGTTATACACCTGTTTGTAATTTTTATTACAACCAATTATCGCTGAATCCCATAAAATCATAATAAAATAAGTAACTTTACCCTACAGCATTTTTTTTAACCTCCTCAAATAAAGATCCGCAAATATTTATAGGAGTCATCAAATCACTATACACATTTTTTTCGTTAAATTTAATAATGTTTTAAAAGAAAATAAGTTGAAAAATATTAAACGCACTTAAATAAGCCAAACATGAAAACTTAATTTTTTGTTATAAGGAATCAAATAAAAAATTGAAAAAATGTTATACAGAGAAAACCATTACACTTTCTTTCTTTCTTTACACGTTCTTTTGCCCACTTACATCACCTTTTTACCGTGTTTAGTAACATTACGTTACACGTGCAATGACAACTCAGTTCATTCACGAACCCAAATCTTGTTTTACACAACGGTTGCGATTGAAATATATGTTCACTACATTTTCTTAGACTTTTCCGCTTATATAATCTATATCTGTTTTAGGACTTCGTCAGAGAAATATAGGAGCAAATCAAACTTTGAAAACAAGATTATCGTTTGGCTCGCCGAAAACACCAGGGTTCATTGAAAAACCTTTTGCTGGGTCAACTGCCATTTTTCAAAATAAACCTCTGGCACAACCTACGCCTTTATTAGGACCTTCAAGGAGTAGTGCCCTGGTACCTACACCTGGATTAAGGATGGCGACTCCGAGAGCTGGACAGTTAGCAACTGCTACTCCTCTGCCTTCGCCGATGGGTTTTTTACCAGCAAATCGCTCGGTTCTAGATAAGATGGTAGATTATTTGGTTGGTGATGGCCCGTCAAATAGGTAAGAACAATAATATAGAAGTTGATTAAATATATTTACAGCATATCGTTTTTCAACTGTTTTACCAGTTTTGTCAGCAATGGATTTTCTTATTTTCATTGGGCTTTATATATAAAAACAACCTTGGTGAGTCACTCTCCTGCCATTCTTTCTGCTGCTTCTAGTTCCATGACCATTATCGATCGTTGGATATTTATTTTTGTAGTTCTTTCTTTCTTTGTTTCTCTTCTTTCTTTTACTCTATCAGGGTGTCGGATTTTGTCTAGCTATTTTAATTTCCATTCATCCATCTCTTCCATTCTTTTCTCTTCCTGCCAATATTTTCATTTTCTCGAGTAATTTTTCTTTAACTTTTCCCGCCTTTACTACTTGCTGTATCCATTTTTTCTTGGTCTGCTTCTTTTTCTTTTTAAGTTGTCTTTTGCTTCGTGGACTTTTCTTGTAATTTTGTTGGCTTGCATTCTTATCAGATGCCCATATCAGTTCATTTGTCCCTTTGCTATTTTATTCATTATTGGTTCTTGGTTTCCATGGACCATTCTCCTAATAGTCTCATTGCTCAATCTATCCCATTTTGTCTTTTCAACTATCCCTCTTAGGTGTCTCATCTCCATTGCATTTATCCTGCTCTTATGTTTTTCCAGAATTCTCCAGTTTTTACTTGCATAGAGCACAGTCGGTATCACTATTGTGTTATATATTTTTATCCTTGTCTCTCGTGTAAGTTTTCTTTTTCGCGGTATCGGGGCAAACGCAAAATATAACTTGTTTAATTTCTTTACTCTATTTGTTATTTCCCACTCTATTTTTCCGTCGTTAGTAATAATACTTCCCAGGTATTCTACTGTCTCCAACACAACACTTCAAATTTGGACTAGTTGTATTGAGTCCCATTGCGACTGAGTCCAATCATTATGCTCTTTTGACCATTTTAGTCTATTTTTCTCGGGTTGTAATGTTAAAAGTGGCTTTCCCTTAGCCTGAAATAAAATGAAATTTATTAAAAGCAATTCTTACCAATTTTTTCAACTATGAAACTTTCTTTGTAAGTACCAAATCCTAATTCGTGGGCACCCGGTGACATGTTGCTCTAGAAACGTGTCTTCCAATAATGTCACTCCATAAAACGCCTAACTCCATATAATTTGCAACATATTCGGGATTTTCGAATTGGATTTTCCAGAATTAAAAAATCTAATAATGATTGAACAAATTTTCTCATTGATAACTTTACCTCGACTCATTGTACAATCCACAAACGACAAAAAGCTTTACAATACTACAAAGTACATTTGACATTAACTGACAATATTATTGTTTTGAGGTTATTTTTCCAGAGCTACGTCTGAATTTAACGTAATTATGAAAAAATAAACTTATGTTGACATAAGTGAATGCATAGCCAGGGTTTAGTGATTTTTGTTGTTGAAAATAAATAAAAAACCACAAGGGTAATGTTTTTAATAAATATTAATAAAAATGTCATATTAAATAATATGTGAACTTATAAAAAACATCGAGTATAATTTGTTTATTGTAATCGATTATGGTAAACAGATTAGAAGCTTTCGAAATGTGGCTTTATCGCCGTATCCTAAAAATACCATGGACAGCGAAAATCACAAATATAGATGTCCTTAAAAGAATAAACCAAGAACGCCAACTTTTCGAAACCATCAAGAAAAGGAAAACGGCGTATCTAGGTCACATCATGCGAAATGAAAAATACCAGTTCCTCCAACTTATAATCGAGGGTAAAATTGAAGACAAGAGAGGAATGGGACGCAAGAAAATGTCCTGGCTCCGAAACATAAGGCAATGGACAGGTATTAACGACATACAATCTCTGATACATATTGCAAGAAATAGAGAATTAATAGAAAATGTGATCGATAACATCCATTAGTGGATTTGCATCTGAAGAAGAAGAAGAATCGATTTAAACTGCAAATTCCTTAGGTGGGCCAACTGATATGGGAAGGGGCTCCTATAAACGAATATACAGAAGCACTAGACGTGAAATCAAATCTTAACTGCCCTTTAATATATTTTTAATTTCGTTAGGTAACTACTTGTATAAAACTGTGCTCACATGCTTAGACAATAACGCAATGAACTTGTTACCTTACTGACACGGAGTATTGTACAAATTAAAGAATGTAATATTATCACTTATAACGAGAGAAATTTATATATAAAAATGCAAAATACGGTATGTGGAATTGAATAAACTCATTGTATTTCACTATTCTCAACATCAAATGTTTTAAGAATTTTAAATTATAAGAATCAAAATTATCAAATATAATTAAAATTAAAATAATGAAGATGTTAGATTTGAATTAGATGTATACAAACTATTACTATTTTAAGTAAAAGGTATGCAGAATAAAAATATTTCAATTATTATTAAATTTGAATCTTAAATTTCTTTAATAATCTTTTTAATTAAAAAAAAATGCACTGCTCTAAATGATAATAAATATTCAAAAACTAACAGTTTTATCCCGACATTCACTTGTATGTTCCTGCTTCCTTCTTAGAACTGCAACTGGAACTGGGGAGCTGGATTAGATTTTTCTGCTGGAAACTGAACCTCCAAACTGCTGGAACAATAGACTGAAGGACTGCTATTCAGGTTCTCTGGTGATCAAAGGCTCTCGTAAGGCCTTCCTCTCCTACCCCTAATTTCGGTGCTTTCTGGTCTTTTTTTATTTGTTTTTCTTTTCTCCACAATTCGAATTCGATCGTAGATCTTGTACGGAACTGGAAAACTGCTATTTAGGTCACTAAGGGTCGTCTCCTTCGAAGCTCCAAACTAATTAACGCCCTTTTGATGACGTTTTGACGAAGGACCAATGGAAAATTTCGAACGTATTTATGAGGTTTGAATCGTTCTATAATGCCCCTGTGTCCGCTTCTTGTCGATTGACGATGAAAATATAATAAAAAGTTGAAGTTGTGGAGTAAAAGTGATGGTTTTATTTACAGTTAGATAACTACTTGTATAAAACTGTGCTCACATGAGCTCAAATCCCCAATTTATAATCTCACAAATAATTCATACCTCAGCACAGAGGTTATTGCTTCATTCATACCATACCAACAAACTTTGAACTATTTGCTTACATTACAATTTAATCTAGGCCTTAATTGCGACACTTAGGAAGTTCAATTAGAAAATATATTATTCGGCAATTTATGTAGTTGTAGGTAAATGATTAAGATGTAGGTAAATGATTAAGATGTAGGAAATTATTAAAATAATATACGATATGGTTTTACAATTGTCTCACTTATACACGGTGAAACTATAAAAGATTAAGAAGTTGAAAATAATGTGAGATTACAAATTAAGAGGGTAATTTGTGATTGAATACCAGACAAAGTATTATTTTGTAAGACAATACATTATTAACAAATTTAAGTAGTCAAATACATTATCTTTACTGAATGGATCAAGTTATTCAAAGCAATTAATTAAATAAAAAAACTTTCAAAACCTTATGTTTTGAATATTTTTTATAAGTAGGCGTTATACACCAAAAAAAGCTTTCAGGGCCCTGGATTTTTAAATATCACGATAAAAACCTTATTACCCTGGACTATACCACTTTTACTTTAATACGCATTTTTAATGAGACAAGTTTCATTTTTTGCAATTTTTTACATTATTAATTAGTATTAATGTTGTTAATTAACAAAACAAATTATAAAGAATAACATAATAGAAGTTTTCGTAGTTAATATTTAATTGTTAATTATAATTAATTTTTAATATTTATTGAAATGCTTGTTAATTGATTATTTATAATATTTCAAAGTGGTATTCCACTTTGTATATATTTCCACTTTCAAAGTGGAATACCATTGAGCAAAAAAGATTTTTTAAAACGGCTTTTATATTGAATGGCATAATTATCCCCAGTTTGTTACCTTTAGATATTTATTTATGGTATTTATTTTTATAGGTACGCTCTTATTTGCAAAAAATGTTTTTGCCACAATGGTATGACGGTAAAAGAAGATTTCGAATATACCTCCTTTAGATGTTATTACTGCACACATTTCAATCCAGCTAGAAAAATGAGAAAAACGGGGCCGAGTTTTGGAAGCACTTCAAAAATCGAGTCCGTAGACGATTCTTCCGAATCCGATAGAGATACTCAAGATTCTGATCCAGACACAACTCCACAGCCAATAGAATCTGTGAAAACTAGACGATCGTCCTCCGAAACAGAAGTGCCAGCACCGATTCAAACTCTTTCAGCAGTGGAATTACCGAAAGAATCTACCAGCGAAAGAAATTCAAATTCTTCTCCTGAACTCGAGAAATATTCTGATTTTGACAAATTGTCTGACTTGGAATCTCGAGAAGGAGAAGCTATCGATAAATCACCAGAAGATTCAGGGATACCCCATGAATCAGTCGAAAGTACAAATACCACTCCTGAAAAGGCTAACGTCGAAGAGACTCCCATGGAAATCGATCGGGACACGTCTACCACCGAACTTATCAACGATGAATCATAGAGAAAAGACTGACATTCTTTTAAATTTTAGGAAGAGTAGAGAATTTGATGAAGGTATTCGTGATATTGTTGCTAAATAGAAGTTTTTCTTGGTTCATCAATATTGTATCTACATACAAAACGAGGATTTTTATTAAATATTGTAACTTGTTCCTTTTGGAGTTGTTGATAAATTATAGTGTACTTACTACTAACATTTAAATCCTTGTGTAACTAGATAAGAAAGGAAGTTATGTAAAAAGGTATAGATTCATTCATATCAGAGCAAGATACCAAGTTCTTTTTAATAATTACATAAATCGATTGGATATTTTTTAATACTGATTAAAAACCTAACTTTGATTATCTGCAGTTTTATCTGAAATTTACTATATTTTTAAATAACAAACCGAAGAGGAAGAGAGTGTGTGTGTGTGTGTTTTATTGACAATGGTTTTAACAACCAACTGACCAGCCGTTTTATTTTGAGTTCTCTCTTTATACAAAATAGGGTTAGTATCTACATTTAAAACTATTGTATTACATTGGCAGTTATGACATGAAATGTTCGAAACTTACTTACTTGTTTACTCCGTTTTTAACAGTTTACAATTAATATGACTGTATAAAATTTTATATACATCTAGATTATTTGACTCTAAAAGATGTATTAGATTAGAAGGTAATTGAACATTAATTTAACCGAGATTGGTATACAAATTTAATATTCCAATAAAATGTAAAGGACATGCTAACAGCCTATGTTGTAGATCAGCTAGCTCCCCACATAGACATTCATCATTAGTTGCCAAAATAACTCATCATCATCATCACGTAGCGCTACAACCCTGAGTGGGTCTTGGCTGACTGTACAACTTTTTTCCAATTTGTTCGGTCTTCCATCAACCTAGGGTCAAATGGAATGTTCATTTTCCGGAGATCTGCTTGGATGTTATCTCTCCATCGCATTCTGGGACGTCCGAGTGGTCTTTTGCCTTTGGGAATCTCCTCCCACACCAGTTTCACAAGTCTTCTTTCAAGCCGAAATAACTGTCAAAGTCATTCTTGTGATTTGAGATGTCCTAAAAGTGAGCATCTGGCTTCTTTTATCGAATACGGCAAGTTTTAAACTAGATGTAGTCGTCGAAGCGATCGGTTCGAAAAAACGAAACGTAGGCTAATTAAACCAAACACGTTTGCTCAGTGTTAAATTGTTCCTTTTCTTTTTGAAAGAGCATAATTCTTTGAGCGATACGTGAAAACTCCATTTATGGAGTCTTCTAACGGGGGCGAACGCCCCGATAAAGTACCAAGGGATAAGGATGCGATGGATAGTTGTAGTTATACAAATGGTTTCCATGGATTTCCATCCAATCAGCTCGAAAACGCAGCAGTCTTAATAATATTAATAGTTATTTACTTGAGATTATACTCATTCTTGAAAGTTGACCAATACACTAAATATGAAACCTGTATTTGATACATTTGGAAAAATAACATACATTTTATTTCTGACAAATCCTCAGACAAATATCTACAGTTGGTTTTTCTTTAATTATAATGTGATTGTCTTGTATTAAAATACTTAATATGATAGCGGATTTACTTCAAAACTTCCTCTTGGTGTTTTCTTGTAACGGTTTGTCTTGTGGCTGCCTCTCTTGTCTTTAGGGGTCAATATATTGCAAGAAATGAGATCTTGAAGCCTTCTAACGCGACCTTTTGTAACACCACGTATATTACAAAAGGTAGTAAGGCATACAGGCTATTCATTTACATATATACGAATGTTATAGGAATAAGCGACCATTCGAAAATTTTTAGGTGTTTTTGTTGAATGTATTTTTGGGTAGGATCACGAAATAAAGCTCATTAAATAGGCATCCTGGTCGTTTTTTACTCCCAAATCATCGAAATGTGTCAATATATTTTTGTTGTTCCAAGGAAAATTTTTCGTAACATTTAAATATCGTGCATCTGAAACAATATAATATTGTATGTAGTTAAAGGTTCCGTGATTTCAGGAATAGCTTTTTAACGTTCGCTATTAAACTGAAAAACTAGTGGAAATGTTTTTCTAACTTCCTCCGCAACTCTGTTTATTCCATGCGCTAAAAAAGTATTAAGTTTGGATAAAATATTTTAAAATTTTGTCCTGATTTCACCACATATGGTGCGGCATAAGATAAAATAAGCAATAATTTATCGTTGGGCACAACAGCAGGAAGAAAAATGTTTGCTAATGCTTCTTGTAGAAACCGTGATATTGTTAGAGCGTTGGTTTTTTCCACTTGCTTACAGGAACTTAAATACGATTTTGGAAAGGTTTGATCATTAAGTACACCAATCAATAAGTGCACAATGTATCTTCATGACAAGTCAGTGGTCTCGTCCACACATTATATAAAAGTAATTATTACCTATTTCAGCTATGTTGTGGATAACTGAGGAGTATAACAAATTGACATTTTTTCTCTTAGAGTTCGTTCACGGGAATGTTTTGTTGGCAATATTTTTTTTTAAAGAACTAAAGTTTTCATTAGATAATTTTGAAAGCGGTATATTAGAAGATACTAATGCACGACACAAGTCTTCGTTAAAAGTTTCTTGTTCGGACTGTTTTTTGGAACTTGACTGAAAGCACTGGACACTGAAGGTTGATATTTTTCACCGGATGTGGTTTTTACTTTTTTAGCTAAATGTTTCGCGGTTCTGACATGCTGATCTATTTGAAACATTTTTTTTTTTCAGATGAAATCTAAAAAAGAATATAAATATTCTATAGTTGTACCCATTTTTAAAATCTAAGATTGTAGAAATAAACATATAAAACATACAAACAAATAAACGATAGGACACTCTAATCAAAAGATATCAAAATTTTACCGTTGAATTTTGTGGAGGAAGCCCGTTTCCATAATAATTGTGTTGTAAATCGCCATAATTCCCATTATTGGTCAATGGAAAATCCGCACTGCTTACTCGCTTTCGAACTAGATACGGAATTAATGTTTGGTGTGGGTTATTTAATGGGCGTTTAATTCGAACTTTATGAAAAATGGAGAATATTCATTTACACGAACGAGGAGTTATGGTATGGCAACAAGATGTCGCATCCCTACATAACAGCGCATATATTGTAATCAATTACTATAATGCCACATTTTCAAAAAGATGGATTGGAACCAACGGACCCGTCCGATGGCCTCCAAGATCGCCTGTGCTATCACCATTAGATTTTTTTGTATTGGGCTTTTTCAAAGGAATCGTTTTTAACGAAAAAACTGAAGATGTAGACGATTTAAAAACTAAAATTAGACAATCATGTACCCTGATTACGCCAGAGATTATACATGCAGCATGTAAACGTGAACTGCTTAGACGGTTTGACGCTTGTGTTGAACCAGAATGAAGTCATTTTGAATACCTCAAATAAAATTTGTTCGCATTTGGAATGTTATTGATTATTGTTGAAAATAAACATGAAATTTAAAATTTAGCGTGCTTATTTACATTAATACCCACATTGCCGAATGTGGGATAAAAACACTTTCATCTGAACTAACCTTCACCCTTGATACATTTAATTTTTTCATTGTAATGACGTCACAGCACCCGTGATGACGCCACAAACCTCATGTATACATCAATTGATAGGTCCAATTGACATTTCGCAATTTTCAAATAAAAATAATCATTACTTCCTGAATTATAGGCTGTTAAAAACATCTTAGAACACCCTTTATAATCATTTTATAGCAGTATTCGAGTAGAAACCAATGAATGAAAATTAACATTACACATCAATTTTCTCCTTAATTTTTTTACTTGCAAAATATTTGTGTAAAAATGGTTTTCATATGATGACTGTTGTCATTTGGTTGTGTGTAAATTATGAAGTTTGTATAAATAAATATGTATAGTTCAATTTAGTGTTTAAAGGAATGTTGATGAACCAATAGTGTTTCAAAATTATTACAAGGTTGGATAAGAAGTTCAGTTAACATATTTGTGATTGTAAGGGTACAGTAAGGTCCAGCTGGGAAAAACCAGTCCAAATTTTCATTTTTGTACAATGTTCGATCACGACACAATACTTTGTAAATAATAACCCCTATCAACAAATTTCTTTCATTAAATATCGGTTTGCGAATATAAACGTTTAAACAGTTAAAAAATATAGTGTTATTGTGTATGATTAAGCCAAACTGATGGCTTCATCATTTGTTGGTACTTACTTTTAGAAGTTCCAAAATGTGTTTGCTTTTTGAACGTCAAACTATGTGTATATAAAAGTTTTTGGTTTTACACACGTATTAACGTTTATTCTGAACACTCTATTGTTTAATAGAGTTACATCAGATTTTGGAAAAGTCATAAGGTATTTGTTGATTTTGTAGGATATTATATTTGTATTAAATGTTTGAACTACATGACTAGATTGCAGATTAGGGATTTGATCTCGTAGGCTGTTTAATGGTGTGACTGAAAAATAGTTTGCAGCATTCGCATATTCTTTAGAGCCTGCTGTCTAAGCTTACTTTAATTCCTCAGTATGACGATCATACTCATCTTCTTCTTCTTCTTTTTGTGCCACTCCTATCGGAGATTGGAAATCATCAAGGCTATTCTGACCTTGTTTACGGCTGACCTAAAGAGTTCATTAGTGGTGCAGCCAAACCACTCTCTCAAATTCCGCAATCATGACATTCTTCTACGGCCTGGATTCCGTTTTCCTTCTATTTTTCCCTGCATTATATTTTGAAGTAATGCGTATTTATGTCCTCTCATCAGGTGACCAAAATATTCGAGTTTTCTTCGCTTTAGCGTTAACAAAATTTCTGGGTCTTTTCCTATTCTTCGTATTACTTCACAGTTTGTTATTCTTTCAACCCAACTAATCTTCAGCATTCGACGGTAGCACCACATCTCGAAACTCATACTCATCTGCTGGACCTTTTCCGAGCTTTGCTGAACTTCATCGCGTTTTTTTGTTTGTTCCTCGTCCATTCTTGTCCAACACGAAGCTACGAAGTGAATGGTAACTTCCGTCAGAGCTCCGCATGCCCGGAGAAGGCTAAATACTGGGTGTCATCTATAGTAAAATTCATTAAGCGG